TTCTCTGAAGGAATATTCAAGAAAGACAGTAAGGGGCAAGCAGCTTTTTTCTACCCTGCACAGTTGTGACAGAGCCAGATGTAATCCTAACCCTTGTGGATAAAGCAGGCACAAGGACTGCTTAAATAAATTGTTAGCCTTGCAGAAGAGGTTGAGGAAAAGATGAAGGCTCCACATATCCCGGAACACCACCTGCATCTTGTCGCAGGCGTTGCACCCCCAGGAGCTCCGGCGCAGCACCGAAAGGCTGGGCTTTCCAGCTAAAACCTGCTTGCAGGTTTTGGCCCTTGATCCTTGCTCTCAGGCACTACACTGTACCATATGACACAGCACCTTCTTTTCCACTCTATTAGAATATCGATGTGCTCTAGCTGATACTCCTAATTGTGACATTGTTTTCAAGGGGCTAAGCAGCAAATTGAGGAGGGCAGATTGGGATATGGGTTAGTGGGAAGAGAGGAGGAAAGGTAGCAAACACCCATAACAATTTTAAAGCCACAAGCATTTTGATCAGATGAAACGAAACTAGACTAATTGCCCCACTTTCTGCAACTTTGAGAAATCCTGATTTTTGTTTGAGTCCTTACAAACAGACTTTTACAAGGCAGCATTGTGCACAATATTTCTTTGTTTTGAATTAACACTTACACAATATGATACTTACATATGTGCACAATGGGAACCCTAAAATGTATTTACAGACCCCTGCAGGAACCACCTCATTTACCAGTAAGCTGCAGCTACTAGTGGGATAAAGGACAGGATAGTGTGAAGCAGCATACTGTTCAGAAAAAAATTACAGAAGATACTATGCCTAGCTGAAATTACCTAGGAAATATTTCAGAAATATTCCTGTTTGATCGGCACTGTGGCCAAGAACAGCAATGCCACAAGTTCTTTCTCCCCCCAAGCCCTCCACTGCTTGGGCTATGCAAGTTGTCATGGGAGGGAGTTGGTGGGGCCCTTTTTTCTTAATGTTAATTTATTTCAATATGAAAGTATGAAGACAAAAGATAAATAATTGCAACAGTCTAAGAATTCAAATAAAGTGAAATAAAACATTATCTTCTTTATTAATTAAACTAATCCGATGCCATTAAGAAGTGCAAACAATTTAAAGTTCAATTTATTGAGACTTTGAACCTCCTATTCTTTCACAAGATCCACACAAGACCTACCAATTTGAACTGCCTTTAAGAAAAAAAAAAAAAAAAACAAAAAAAAAGAAAAAAACACTAAGAAACTAAGACACTGTTATTCACAGTCTTATTCTTAGTATGACATACTTAATATCAAATTAAAAAAAAAAATCATTGTTTAATATTAGCCAGTTTCCAAATCCAAGTTTTGTATTTCTAAGGAATTCACTAAGACGTTTGGACTAGGCACTGAAAAGAATCAGAGAACATTAAAAAGTAATTGTCACAGGTAAAACTTACACCGCTTCATCAAGCAGTGTGCAGTCTCTGCACACAACACTTTGAAACTTCATCAGTTGCAAGGGAAATTAAAAACTCTCCCTGACTTTTGGTTTAACTTCTGAAACATACCACAAAATTGTTAGGTAGAAATAATTTTCAATAACTGAAGACCCTCAACTATCCTGTTTTCATGGAAGATTATGGCATACAGCATGCGATCTCTAACAAGGAGAAGGAAACATGCATAGCAAAATCAATCATAAGGGCAAAGGTGAAGAGTGTTGAGGCTCTGAATTGCTCCACATTTCCAAGTGCTCAAAGTCCTGTGTTAGTATTTTTAAATGTGTCAAAGAACATAACGAAGCACAACTATCAGACTACAAAGAAAAACATAAAGCAGTACACGAACCAAAGGTTCAGCCAAATTAAGTTGTCCCCAAATAATCAGAAAGTAAAAAAAAAAAACAAATGTCTAAAATGCAACCTTAAAATATTGTCAGTGATTTAAAACATTTTTACCATTAGCATTTAAATTCAGTTAGATCCCTTACAAGTGATTTTAGAAAAATATCGAAAAATTCTATTAAAACTTGTGATGCAGCATGTTTACCATTGAAATACACAGCACCTTGTTGTAGTTTTCATCTCTGACCCATTTTTTTCCTCTATTTTAAGGATAAAACATATGATCTGCATTTGTAAATAAGTCTTATCTTCTCAAACAGTGTCAATTTTTGCTCAGGGCTATATTTTGTAACAGTTTTCCACTTACATTTATTGGTAATAATTTATAATAGACAAACAAACAGTACATAATATGTGCAGCCTATTACTTCTAAAAACAGATGCAAACACTTTCGTTTTCTCATGGACATTTGTTGACAGCTCTATTATTAATTTCAAAAGCACTGCCATACAAAACATACAGCTTTGCTGGCATATTTAGCTAGTATGGTTATAACCCCTACCACGAACCATCATCGAGACAGTCCAGTGTCTGTGGTTCTAAACCAAATACAACTAGAATTGGAAATAAATGTATATTTTAATCAAGGAATTGTGACACAGTCATAGAATCGTTACAGACTTTTGAGTATGGGTCAGATCCTCAGACGCTGTAAATCAGAGCAGCTGTACTGAGGTTAATTGAATCCTCATTATTCAGCTAAAGATATATCCTTCACAACTTTTCTTGGCA